CAAGATCTAGATACATGGAGCCTGCAACTAGTGAGAAACTGTGGAGTTTGGAATGTGAAGATCATAAAAAGTGCACCACAGTCAACATATTCACCTTCCTATATAACTCTATAAACTCTTGTAATCTATGACAAGAAATAGTTAGAAATGCTCCTTGAGTACTCAAGAGGACTAAACCTTATCATCTAGTTTGTCATTTACAAGTGGAATCATCTCCAATTTATTCCTTGGTGTTCGAGGAGTTCGAGGGGTACCAGGTAATTGTTGCTGAGATAGCTTATGCCTCACATAACCGTAGAATGTGCAGCCACAGAGAGTGATTGCACATCCAATAGCGTTCATAGCAGAAATTGGGTTTCTAAAGATGAGCCATGAAACCAAAACAGCAACTGCTACCTGTACACAACAAAACAATAAGTTAACATAAGCAAACAAACTAGTTAGAAGGGTTAATTGTAGATACACCCTTCACATTATGGTGGTTTGTCTACTGATACCCCTAACTTGTTTTATTTAGAACGTGCCCCCTGAACCTCAGATGCCATCAATTTAGAGCGTAATTAGTCTTCTTTCAGTTAAACTAAGGGAAATAGGTAAATACCTATCACATGATTCTCACCTGACATCTTAACCAAATGGGATAAATAATATTGTTCGTAGTTCAAAAGGTGAAAATACTAATAAACAGTTGAGGGGGTATAACTTGACACACCCTCATAAATCATAATGCAAGGGGTGTGCCTGCAATTAATTCTAGTTATAAACATGGCGAAAGAGCTAGCTGATGTAATCACCTTAAGATTGCCTGCTACATTGAATGTAACGGCAGTAGTGGAATGGATCACATAGAATATGGAGAAGTTTAGACAGAAGGCCAAAACTCCTGAGCTAAAGATTATTATCATTGCAGAGAAAATGGATTCATGCGTGTAAAACCAGTTAAAAACTCCAGATCCTTCCAGTAACACTGCAGGTACCGCCAATATCATGGTTGCAAAAGGGGCCATGTAGTAGACTGTGTTTATACTGCACAAAAACAATAAACGCAGTTCAGCTCAAAGATAAAGAGAACAAAAAAAATGGTGCACAGGAGGATAGCCTCCTTTAATCACAAGGTGAAGCTATGGTGCTTTAAAACAGCACTAAGCTACTGTAGTTCATGAGAAAAGACAATCGGCAGCAAAAGAACAAAGAAAGAAAGACAGCCAGAGTTCCTTTTTATCAAAGGCACTCTTCACGCAACAAACAATTCTGCAAGCTTGTAGTTTCGTCAGCTTCTTTTATGATAGCTATGCAAGTAAAATCCATTTCTTCCCTCCAGTCACTCTAAACCTATTTTCTATCTACTAATCAACATAGTCAGTCATAAACATAAGTGTATATTTGTTTTAGAGTTCGTATAAACGGCAGCATTTGCCACTATTTCACAAATCTAAGAGAGCCCTAATCCAGGGTTTACCCATGCAGATACACAGACTCCAGGGCACCACATGTAGTTCTTCAGGATACAGGAATGTAATAAACCCTATTCTTAATCACATCAACCTAACTAGTATAAAGATCGATTGCCTATTTCTCATAACAACGCCTATTCTCATCAGGTATCTTGGTGAGAATACACTTTACACCTAAGAAACAGACCTACATTTGAGGTAAGCTTTATTAATGTCTACTTGAGAAGCACATAATCATAAGTTTATTCAAATTAAATGAATATCATATCTAAATCTCTTTTTTCTGCAGGAATACATCCTGGCTTTGGTCTTAGAAACAGAAAAATGTAAATTGTGTCTCGAGCATAGATAACGTCAATACAAAGAAAGGTAAAGCACATCGCCTTATGAAAAGCACTTGTTTCCGATCAAGGATAAAAGTTTAACGATATAAAAATGACTGACAAATGGGTATATTCGTCTGTTCAGCTCCAACTTATCCTGTAAATCTTTCTATTATCATAAGTGAATAGTATGATTGTAGAACCTTATGGCATAAAAGCAAATCAAATTCCGGGCACAATATCTTTTTCTTAGCCAGTGGTCAATTACTGGTGAGGGATTCACAAAGACTAAAAGAGAAGATCACAATGACAAGCAATGAGAAAACAAATAGTATGGCACTCACTATAGCCACCTAGTCGTTTCACGAAGCTCTTCGGCAACCTCACTTCGCTCACCTCATGCATCCTTCAGACCCCAATTAATGCCTATGACCCACGGGATAAGGACTTCTTGGTCTGGCTTCACTCAAAGTCAGGATTGCTTACCTCCAAGTCAGCCTATATAGCAATTAATGATATCATCTTACCCAGAATGCTAGACTTAAGGTTTTGACAACATCTATAGCACAATGCATATAAAAAGTAAGATATATGTTGTACTCTTTTCCTTTTGTCTTCTTTTCCCCTTGGATGGGGGTGGGGGGTTGGGGGGTGGATACATAATCCTTCTCCATTCAACTACATTAACGCCCTGTTTGGATGGAGGGTAGAAGGGGGAGGGGAAGAGAAATGCAGTTTTCATCTTGTTTGGGAGTTTTTTTAAGGAGGGTAGAGAGGAGGAAGGAAGGGGAACGGAGAGAAAAATTGCTTGGTTTTCTTTCCCCCCCGATTTGGGCGGTAGAGGAGGGTAAAGGAGGGTAAAGGGGTGTAATGACATTCTTACCCCCATCAAAACAAATAAAAGAGCTGATGTGTTATTAGTATAAAGTCATTTATGTAAATTTACATATATTTACTTTCTTTCACCTTACTCAACTCCCAAACAACATATTACAATTCTCTTCCCTTCCCTTCCCCTCCCTTCCCGTTGTTTACCTTCCCTTCCCTTCCCTTAGGGCCTGTTTGGATTCGTAGGGGGTGAAGGGAAGTTAAGGGAAACTGAGTGAAGGAAAGGGAAGGGAATTCCCTTCCCCTTGGTTACACCCCAATTTGGAGGGTAACAATTTGTATACTATTAGGGGGTGAACCAAGGTGAATGGAGGTGAATTAACTTCACCTCCTAAGCGTTCCCAAACAAGGTGAATGGAGGTGAATGGTTCCCCTAACTTCCCTTCACCCTCATTCCCCTCAATCCACGTGGAAGAACATAATCATACAATTACTTCACCGAGTAGAACACATTTTCTAAGGGGAAACCATGAGGTCACAAGTGCATGCGAAGAAGACATTAATAAAACAGTTTGGAGAGGTGAACATTCCAACAAACAAGCAAATGGCCTTCTTTGAAAACTCTAGCGGAGGTTTTCATAGAATTGGATGCATTGAGACCGATGTGAGAAATTATGAAAGAGATTTGAGAGAGGAGAGGCGTGGTCATGATGCACAAATGATGTTGGATCATTTCAAGTCGGAACAAGAGAAGAATCCTTCATTTTATTATGTTTATGAAGTTGATGCAGAGAAGCGCTTAACTCATTGTTTTTGGGTGGATGGCATTGCTCGAATGAATTATCAACACTTTGGCGATGTTGTCTCCTTCGATGCCACACATAACACAAATCAATATGGCTTGGTATTTGTTCCATTTGTAGGGATAAATCACCATCGGCAAAGTGTTTTTTAGGATGTGGCTTGATCCCAAACGAAGAGGCGAAGTCTTTTGTATGGTTGTTTAACAAATGGATTGTTTCCCTTAACTTCCCTTCACCCCCTACGAATCCAAACAGGCCCTTAGTAAACTCCCAAACACACCATAAGAGACTTTAAGTTAGTAATCGACTTATCCTTTCTAACTGACTTAACTGACTAAGTCCCTGTTCTCTAGGTCTATCTCTAATCCTCCTTGCTCCATCACTAAGGTTCTGTAGCATGTCATTGAAATTACGGTGGTGGTGAATTAGCTCCTTTTTTTCAGGGAGTAAAATTCCTACACTTGTTTATACTCCACAAGCCTCAAACCTTAATTTCACATTCCACAGAATCCAAACCTCTTACCAACTTGCTCCCATCAACATGAGGTCCCATTGCCATATCTCTTTAAGAAATATGCCATACAAAATAGTCAAGAGAATTCAATAACACACAGTTCACATAATGAACATGCATAATTGTACATAAGCCCTTCCAAATCGTGGTCCTAGATCACTGAATCAGAGACCACCTTTATCCTCCAAGAAATAATAGAAACAATAACAAACCTATATTGGTGTCTGCTGCACAAAACATAATAGAAATGCATGTGAATGCCTCAATCTCCACCAGGAAACAAATTAGGATCTTGCCAATGCATGAGAGTGCAACTTCACATTAGCAACAATCATAATGAGAACATAACAATAGTTTAATCAGGAAATGTAACATTGCCCAGCAAATTGAATTAATATTACTTGAAAGAAATGTTTTATGCAAAAACTTGTAAAGACGTAATTACCAAGCATGAAAATATTGTAAGCATCTAAGTGGATAACTATGGGACTGTGACAAAAAAAAAGTCTTATTTCTACCTATCAAATTTATATCCATGGAGAAGGGACTCTGCCAGAATTGTCTTTGTGGATGTCGCAAGACAACCAAACAAGGCAGCACAAAATCCAAATATGTTGAAGCCAAGCTCTGTTAGAGATGTCAAAAGAATCCCTCCAACAATGGGGACCAGAGAAGCCCATATGCGCCATTCAAAATACTTCCTCCATACTAGCCACTGAAGGATAACTATTGCAAAATAAGAACAAATCAGAATATGTTAAGAGATGGCCAAGGATCTTAAGATAATATCAATATCAATAGAATGATTAATTAGCCAACCTGTTGTTGCAGGAGTGAATGATTTTATTGTCTGCATGAAGGAAACAGGAATGTACCGTAAGCTCACATTTCCCAGAACAATGTTGATGCAGAAAACAAAGGACATCGGAAATATTCTTCTCCAGCGGTCCTCGGGCTCAACTTCAATAAGTGGTTTAATCTTCAGTATTTTTATTGCAATATAAGCTCCAACAGCAGAGCATATGAAATGGATGCATGATACCGTCAGAGGAAACTTAAAATCCAGTTTCTGTAGAAATAAGATCAATGTTAGGTTACCCAGTATGCGAACATGAAATAAGAGAACATAATTCAACTACCTGAATCAAAAAATTATTTCATCTTGCTGTAGTGAGAATCAAACACGACAAGCAAATGAATCCAGAAAGTGAGATGATAAAAAACAAACTTCATTTTTTTTGGGAAGGGGGAGGGTTGTCGTTTTTTTAGAGCACTGCATAAAGGAGAACTACACTAAGATAATCATTATGTCAGTAAAATATTTGTGAAACTATGGATGGTCGTCCATATTGTATTAATCTGATAGTTTAACCAATGGCTGGAATGGTAAATATTGTTGCAATATTTGGCATAGCAAAGTTAAGCATGCTTTAAAAAAAACAAAACGAAACAATGATGAACCTAATGACATCTATACTTAATAAAAAACTAAGTGAGGTATGCAAATGTGAAGGAATCAAGGAAAATTCCTCTTCCCATAGTATTTTTTTGGGGGCCACCATCCCTCTCTCTAATAAAACAATTAAAACCTACAAAGCCTTTTATAATCAACTCTACAAAACAATTGAAACTTACAATTAAATTACAAATAGAATTTCAATATTAGATATTAAACAAAATAAAAATAATAGATTTGAAAGGAGTAAACTACTTCTCTTAATTAATAATACATTTTTAGGGGCCACCCTCCCTCTCTCTAATAAAACAATTAAAACCTACAAATCCTTTTACAATCAACTCTACAAAACAATTGAAACTTTCAATCAAATTACATAAAGAATTTCAATATTAGATATTAAACAAAATAAAATAATAGATTCGAAAAGAGTAAACTACTTCTATTAATTAATAACACATTTTGAAATGCAAAAATTAAGTAATAGTTGTCTGGTAGAGGTCAGTTGAAGAAGTAAAAAAAATTGACGTGAGGTCTTTTTGCATTAAACAAACAACAGTAATTTGAATGATATAGAAAAGAGAATAAAGATATAAAATTATAGCAGCGAATAAATTCAACTAGCTATTTAAATAAGTAAAAATGTATAACGTGTTAATATCTAATTAATGAATAACAAAAAATTATATGAAATAACATATTTGCCAAAATTGACGTATATCCATTGCTCAATTAAAGTTATGATATTTTTCGTATTTTAAATATGTCTCTTAATGATATCTTTTGAAAATATTTTGTATTAATTTTCCCCCAAATTACACAGTTATAATTTCTTTTCTTTGTTGTCACGTGCATTATGCACGTGTAATTTAGCTAGTCCCCATAGAAGTTTGGAAGCATTTAAGGGATGGGTGTCGCTAAGTTAACTAAAGAAACAGGAAGGAGAAAGGGTAAGGAGCAAAGGATAACAAACAGCTAGCTACCTGTTTCAGTGAATAAATGAAATATAAAAGTTATACACAAGTATCACAAAGCCAAGCTTCTGGGATATAGAGAAACTATTCATTTCCTTAGTGACAGTGAAACAATAAAAGATATGAATCATTTTTCTGGCAGATCATGTAACCCGATGACCAGTAGAGGGCGTTGACAGATCATGCAAGGAAGAATACGAGAGATTTCAGTATCTTCCTGAATCTGATGTCCAGTAAACCATATGTATCATAGGAACACTAAGGAAATGAATTTTCTGTTTATGTGAATGACGATAGTAATATCCGCTATCTAAAAGTGACCCTCTAGTAGTCCTCCAAAATTGTTCATGCATGTCCTTTAGGTGATACCTTTACATTACTGGTATAACATCCTAGTTCTCACAACATAAAACTGCCACAGGAAAGATTAAAGAAAAAAAAATAGATCACAGAAGTGATCCATGAAAAAGGCTTCCCATGTGCAGAGATATAACCAGAAAAATGCAGAAAAACTCAGATAGATTCTCTTCCAGGTATACAGAGGTCAGTAATTGCCCTCTTCCAACCTCCGGCACAAAAGTTACTTGTGTCATCACCAACTCAACTATTCGAGAACAGGAAAAGGAATCCAATATGCTATACCTGTACACCCTGGGTTGAACCATCACAAGGGACTAGTACCAAGACAGTGCTAATGGTCCCTTCCATCACACCAAAACTCCGAAGTTGTGCTGAGATTTGAGGCTTATAAATTTATATTCTAAAATGCCCACACAAGTTGAGTCAGTTTTCATGGGTCCAAATGTGACTCACACTGTGGTGTCTTTTATTTTCAAGATCCCTACACCTACAGAAATAACACCAAATTTGCGGAGAGAGTTTTAAGAGTCACAACTTTATACTCTAAGAGGCACTCCCATCTGTTTCTCAGTGGACTTACTCAGTCTTACAAGGTCTAAGGTGGTCACGCCTATATATGGGAGAAGACGGAACTAATTTCAGAGGAGATGTGGAGAAAGAAACACGTCTGCCAATCCTTTCAACTCTTTAACATCTCTCCTCAATCCTCATGTGTTGCCCTTCGCATCTCCTAAACTCGCGCCACCATCAAACAGAGCAGTTGTTTACCACGACAACAAGAACCAATCTACATACCACGCCTCGGCCTTCATTTTGAAACTTAAAACTTCTGTAGAGCGACAATATTATCTCTAAGAAGGCAGCAAAGCATGGAAAAAATCGCTTCTCCCCCCTGCATCTGTAAGCAAAACAGGTTTTCCTACAAGTACGTTACTCATTTGCCCTGGATCTAATTGGAGCTTTCACTTAAAAACATATTCCTTCTATAATAAACAAAATTCATGATCCACATTCTACAATCAACCCATAAACATGCAGAAACCCCACTTTCTATCATTCAATTAGATCACGCGTAACACAAATAAGGAACAATCTGCATCACCCAACCATAAAAACCAAACTTCCACAAAAAGAAAGGATTTTTACCTGAAAGATCCACTTGTTCATGATGATAACAGTGACGTTGAACCCCCACCACTGCAGAATCGCGACTCCTCCATCCTCCTCTTCAAACCCTAGTTCGATCAAAGATCCAGGCGTAACGATTCTCGCCAATTAGAACTCCAATTAGTTCGAAACCCTAGAAATTGAGAGAGAGATAGAGAGAGAGAATTTATTTGTAGTTAGAGTAGGAGAGAGAAAGGGGAGGCGTGGGAGTCATGAGAGAGAGAGAGAGAGAGCAATGTTTTTGCTTTGTAATAAGCTCGATCGATGCGTGTCGCCGATTGATGAAGAAGATGGAGGAATTGAGGAGGATTTTTAACTGCACCTGGTTTTCGTTGCACCCGACTCGAACTCTTACGTGGGACCCGCAAAGAAATAGAGAAGCAAAGAGGAGACGGGCGCAGGAGCTGGCGAGATTCGCATGTTTTTGGCAACGGATCCTGAAAACGATTCTATGACGTGGGCCCCACCAATGTGGTGCTCGGAATTTCTCTGCGTATGTTTGGGTCACGCGTGATGTCGACCTACTACCTTGCGTGTTATAATGTTTTCCTGATTGTTTTTGACTAACATTTGATCTTAATCTATATCTTTACTATACGTAAAAGAGAGGATTGACTTGTTAAAATTTTTATTTTATTTTAACCCTATTATGTTTTATAATTTCTATTTTATTTAGAAATAAATTCTCTTTATTATATAAAATTGTTGTTCTTCACACTTTATCGACCATTCCGTTTCTCCTCTCTCTCTCTTCACACGTCTCTCTTGATTTCCCCTCTCCCTCTATATACGCACATGTCCCTCTCTCTATTTCCCATTAAATATCTGATTTCTCACATAAATCGCCCTCTAAAGCGATCAAATTTCCTTCATGCGATGTTTCCATCTCCAATAAAAAATAATAACCATGATTCCCAATAATTACAAAGATCATACAACTCTCCACCTCTCTCAATTTAAAATTAATGTCAACATTAAGTTCACAGTTGCTTATTTGCTACATAAAGGATTTTTTTTGGCTTGATTTCGTTGCAGAAAGGAAATATTTTATTGGGTGTAAGTATTTAATTTCTTGTTTAGTTCTTTCTTATTATACTTAATTATGATTTTTATTGAAAGTAATAGTTTTCAATTTTTCTTCTTGATTTTATCAGTTCTTTGAGGAACCCATTAGCATGGTAGCTCCTTCCCTTTTCCTTTTTGTTACTTTACTAATGAAGTTTGATCTCTTTATTTAATTTTTATTTTTTTATTTTGTTATTTTGCTAATGAACTGTGATCATCTATCAAGTGTAATAAGCACATCACCACCATAACTTTGAACATCATGTACTTGATAAACCAACAGTAGAAATCATCCCCATGTTTATTCAAAATAAATGTTCTGTAGATTAATTTTTTCCCTAAAATATATCACATGACGAGAATCACCAAAACACAACTTTGGTCCAGACTGAGATTAGATAGATCAAAAACCTTTTCCAATATAGATCAAAAACCTTTTCCAATATTGGATGAGCAATTTCATAGATTTGAGGGACTAATATGGGATTACTGAAGATTTGAAGGGCTAATTTATAAATATATAACCCTTTTGAATATAGACCGCATAAAATGCCTAAGTTACTATTTTTACACATGCTTATTATTATTATGTTGACATGGCTTAACCATTATCATGATTCTCAAAATATGTGTTGGTTCTGATGTAAACTTTGACTTGGTGAGAAACAATTAAGAAGGATATCATTAAGGTTAATTCATAGAAGGAGATGATTCATAACAAAATGTAATGGAAAAATAGGATTCATGTAGCCGACCCTAAACATTTGGGATGAAGGCTTGATGGTGGTGGTGATTGTTGTTGTTGTTGTTGCCTGATGTAAACTTTAAACCCTCCAAATTACCAGGAAATGTTATGAAATAATGTGGATGTCCATTTAGTTTCCCAAAAAGTTGATATTCCCCTAGTACATTAATCTTCTTTCTAGAACAACACAATGTATGTTCTTGAAATACTAAGTTCATGAATGAGTAATTAATACGATTCATGTATCATCATCTTAGTTTGTATATAAATAGAGGTATTCCTACCTCACTTTGACATAGCAATGAAGAACGAATGAAAAAAAAAAAATTCTCTCTACTTCTCGTCTACCTTTTCTTCTCTACTTCATTAGTTTCATAACACGTTATCAGCATGAGACTCTATCATTGAAACAATCTTCTTCAAGTCCATTAGATCCATCGTTGGGCACGTGTTGATATTTTGGATAAACTTTTGAGGTTAAATTTCTCTTTCCAATTCAATTCAATTTTCACTATGACTAACCTTACAAAACAAGAATTTACGCCACTTGATATTTTTGGAAAGAACTACTTATCTTGGATGTTAGATGTTAAAATATATCTTGCTGCAAAAGGTCTTAAAAATACTATTATGGAAGAAAATGAGACATCAAATCAAGACCGTACCAAAGCTATGATTTTTCTTCGCTATCATTTGGATGAAGGATTAAAAACTGAATATCTAACTGTGAAAGATCCACTTACTATGTGGAATAATTTGAAGGAGAGATTTGACCATCTGAAGTTGGCCGTGCTCCCAAAAGCCCAATATGACTGGCTTCACTTAAGGCTACAAGTTTTAAATCAATCAGTGAGTATAATTCTATAATGTATAAAATTACCTCTCAATTGCAATTGTGTGGAGAAAATGTCACTGATGACGATATGTTAGAAAAAACATTCTCCACCTTTCATGCCTCAAATATGCTCCTGCACCAGCAATATCGAGAGAGAGGATTTAAAAAATACTCTGAATTGATTTCATGCCTCCTTTTGGATGAACAAAATAATGAATTATTATTAAAAAATCATGAATCCTGACCTACTGCTTCTAGCCCATTCCCTGAAGTGAATGCAACTAAATCTCAAAATCATGGTCGTGGGAGTGGACATGGCCATGGAGGAGGCCGAGGACGTAGCCGTTATCGTGGACGAGATCGTGGCAGATATGTGCCTTATAATCACATTGATCATAGCCATGGCAGAAGACAAAACAACTCCCAAAAATAGGACAATAATGATAAGAAAATTGAAGAAAGGAAACATTATGAGGAAATTTGCTACCGGTGTGGAATAGAAGGTCATTGGTCACGTACCTATCGTACGGCAAAATATCTTGTTGACCTTTATCAGACATCATTAAAAGGGAAAGACAAAAATGTCGAGATAAATTTTATTGATCAAAACAATGTTTATGATGATCTTGATGATATCACACACCTCGATGTAGCTGATTTCCTTGAGCAACCTGAAGTTGCGAAATGATCCCATGATAAATACCCGACATTTTGAATTTTGTTATTTTTGCATCTTTTATGTAATTTTCTTTATGAATTTTGTAATTTATGGACTTTATTGATATTTACTTTTATTTGTAATTTTTTTTGTTATTTCTTCCTGAAGAAGAAATGGATGCCAAATATTTGGGATCAAACAATGGTGATGATAATACTTGTCTCATTGATAGTGCAATGGATGCCAAATATTTGGGATCAAACAATGGTGATGATAATACTTGTCTCATTGATAGTGCTACTACACACACTATACTTAAAAACATGAAGTATTTTTCTCATTTGAAAATAGAAGAAACAAATGATAGTGCTAAATTGATTGATGGCTCCGGAAGAGCCACTGTATTTCTCCCCAAAGGAACTAAAATTGTCATAAATAATGCACTACTCTCGATAAAGTCTCGAAGAAATTTGCTAAGTTTTAAAAATATCCGCCGGAATGGATATCATATTGAGACGATGAATGAGACAAACGGTGAATACTTATTGATTACAAATACCATTTCTGAGAAGAAATGCGTATTAGAAAAGCTGTCTTCTCTATCTTCTAGTTTATATTATACAAAAATAAGTGCAGCTGAAATGTATCACCTTGAAGACCAGAAGTCTACTAATCCTAATGATTTTATGATTTGGCATGATCACCTTGGACATCCTGGTTCTATAATGATGAGGCGAATAATTATAAATTCACACGGTCATTCATTGAAAAATCAAAAAAATACTAAATTCTAATGAATTTTCATGTGTTGCTTGCTCCCAAGGGAAGTTAATTGTTAGACCATCACCAACGAAAGTGGGAACCGAATCCCCTGCATTTCTAGAACGAATTCATGATGATATATGTGGGCCTGTAGATCCACTATATGGATTATTTAGATATTTTATGATACTAATTGATGCATCAACAAGATGGTCACATGTAAGTTTATTATCTAGTCGCAACCTAACGTTTGCGAGATTACTTGCTCAAATAATTAAATTGCAAGCACAATTTCCTGATTATCCCATTAAGAAAATTCGTCTAGATAATGCTGGTGAATATTCATCACATACCTTTGATGATTATTACATGGCTATTAGGATAAGTGTTGAACATCCTGTAGCTCATGTTCATACACAAAATGGTCTAGCTGAATTATTTATTAAACGGCTTCAATTAATTGCAAGACCATTGTTAATGAGGTCTAAACTTTCTTTATATGCTTGGGGACATGCTATATTACATGCAGCAACGCTTGTGAGAATTAGGCCGACAAATTATCATATTTATTCTCCCTTACAATTAGTTCTTGATCACGAACTCAATATTTCTTATTTAAGAATTTTTAGTTGTGCGGTATATGTTCCTATTGCACCGCCTCAACGTACTAAAATGGGCCCTCAAAAAAGATTAGAGATATATGTCGGGTATGAATCACCTTCTATAATTAAATATGTTGAACCATTAACAAGTGATTTATTTACTATAAGATTTGTAGATTGTCATTTTGATGAATCACATTTCCCGACATTAGGGAGAGGTAAAGATCAACCGAAAAAGGAAATTACTTGGAAAATATTATTAGACTTTCTTGATCCTCGTACAAAAGAATGTGAATTGGAAGTTCAAAGGATTATACATTTACAGAAAATTGCAAACCAATAACTAGATGCTTTTAGTGATTCTAGAAGAATTACTAAATCGCATATTCCAACAGAAAATGCTCTGATTAAAATTGATATCCTAGAATGACAAATTAAAAGTGCTAACGAATCTATAGCACGCCTGAAGCGTGGTAGACCTCTTGGTTCCAAAGATAAGAATCCTCGAAAGAAAAGAGGATCGAATGCACGCCTGAAGCGTGGTAGACCTCTTGGTTCCAAAGATAAGAATCCTCGAAAGAAAAGAGGATCGAATGATCAAAATATTAGGTTCCAAAGATAAGAATCCTCGAAAGAAAAGAGGATCGAATGATCAAAATATTGCTAATGACAAAATTTAACCTCCTGAAGAGGTCCCTCTTGAAGAGCCAACTCCTGAAGAAAATAAAACTTCAATAAATTTTGTTATTACGGAAAAGAGTTAGAACCGAAGAGAAGTAATTGTCGATAATGCATTTGCATTTAATGTAGCACTTGATATTATGGAAGATGATAATGATCATGAACCCAGATCGGTTGATGAATGTCGGCGAAGAAATGATTGGTCAAAATAAAAAGATGCGATCCAATCTGAATTAGATTCACTGGCTAAACGAAAAGTTTTTGGATCTGTAGTCCAAACATCTGAATTAGATTCACTGGCTAAACGAAAAGTTTTTGGATCTGTAGTCCAAACACCTGAAGGTGTAAAGCCAGTAGGATATAAATGAAAAGTTTTTGGATCTGTAGTCCAAACACCTGAAGGTGTAAAGCCAGTAGGATATAAATGGGTATTTGTGCGGAAAAGAAATGAGAAAAATGAAATTGTGAGATATAAAGCAAGACTTGTAGCCTAAGGATTTTCACAAAGACCGGGATTTGATTATGATGAGACATATTCTCCAGTAATGGATGGAATTACATTTAGATATCTTGTGAATTTAGCAGTATATGAAAATTTTGATATGTGTCTGATGGACGTAGTCACTGCTTCTTTATATGGAACATTAGATAATGATATTTATATGAAAATCCCTGAAGGATTTAGCATGACTGAAGCATGTAAATCAAATCATAGAGAAATATACTACATTAAGTTACAAAGATCTTTGTATGGACTCAAGCAATCTGGACGAATGTGGTATAATCGTCTTAGTGAATGTTTAGTCAAAGAAGGTTATACAAATGACCCTATATGTCCATGTGTTTTCATAAAGAGGAATGAGTCAAATTTTGTGATCATTGCTGCATATGTTGATGACCTTAATCTGATTGGAACTCCTGAAGAGCTCCAAAAGGCTATTGAATATTTAAAGAAAGAATTTGATATCAAAGATTTTGGTAAAACTAAATTTTGCCTTAGTCTACAAATTGAGCATTTAGAAAATGGGATTTTTGTTCACCAAACTGCTTATACCCAGAAGGTATTAAAACGGTTCTACATGGATAAAGCACATCCATTAAGTACCCAAATGGTTGTCAGGTCACTTGATCTTGCTAAGGATCCTTTTAGACCAAAAGAAGAAGATGAAGGGATTCTTAGTTCTGAAGTACCATATCTCAGTGCAATAGGTACACTAATGTATATTGCTAATTGTACAAGACCAGATATATTATTTTTTGTGAATTTATTAGCAATATTTAGTTCATCTCCTACAAAACAACATTGGAACGGTATAAAGCATATTTTTCTCTATCTCCAAGGAATAATTGATCTTGGTTTATTTTGTTCTTATAACTCTCGACTTGAATTGCTTGGATATGCTAATGCTGGTATTTATCTGACCTGTATAAAGCAAGGTCTCAAACTGGTTATTTATTTACATGTGGTGGCACCGCTATTTCATGGCGATCTACGAAACAATCAATTGCTGCCACTTTTTCGAAGCATACTGAAATAATTGCAATTCATGAGGCTAGTCGAGAATGTATTTGGCTAAGATCAATGATCCACTATATCCAGAAGAATAGTGGATTGTCTCCTGAAATTTGGCTAAGATCAATGATCCACTATATCCAGAAGAATAGTGGATTGTCTCCTGAAAATAAAAATCCTCCGACTATTTTGTTTGAAGACAATGAATAGTGGATTGTCTCCTGAAAATAAAAATCCTCCGACTATTTTGTTTGAAGACAATGCAGCTTGTATAAAAGGAGGATATATTAAAGGAGATAGAACGAAACACATTTCACCAAAATTTTTCTTTACATATGATTTTCAAAAGAATGGTGAAATCATTGTGCAACAAATTCGATCGAGTGATAATCTGGCAGATTTATTGGCATTGCCGATTGTAACTTTTGAGAAATTGGTAAAAAATATTGGAATGCGTCGGTTGAAAGATCTCAAATGGTATTTGAATCAGGGGGAGAAACTAATACACAAGAATAGTGTACTCTTTTTTCTTCACTAGGATTTTTTCTCACTGGGTTTTTTCCTAGTAAGGTTTTAACGAGGCATATTCTTTGTGTAATATTGGACATCCAAGGGGGAGTATTATGAAATAATGTGGATGTTCATTTAGTTTCCCAAGAAGTTGATATTCCCCTAGTACATTAATCTTCTTCCTAGAACAACACAATGCATGTTCTTAAAAGACTAAGTTCATGAATGAGTAATTAATATGATTCATGTATCATCATCTTAGTTTGTATATAAATAGAGGTATTCCTACCTCACTTTGATATAGCAATGAAGAACGAATGAAATAAACTTTCTCTTTACTTCTCGTCTACCTTTTCTTCTCTACTTCATTAGTTTCATAACAAGAAGTACTTTCTTTCTTGCTATTTATTTTAACCATCTGTTGTTAAAACATTCATGACCATCTAAATAAATCGGTTTAGTTAATCCTTGCATTCCCTCTAATTAATCTTTCCTAACTATTTATCTTCCGCTCCTTCAGATCCTTCGCATGCTCCACCAAATTAAAATTCTGATCTTGCAGTATTTATTGCTATAGTAGATTAATATTTCTAATTAATATCTATTTGATTGAAGTGATTTGCATTATTAATTCTAATATATTTTGCATGCACTGCATGTAGAATTTTTTTTAAAACTTTTAAATCAATGAGTCATGGGTAACTGACTAATTACTAACGAGAAGGCAGAAAAATATGTTAACATAACATAGCATAGGCACATATTTTAATCTACAATTCCTAAGTGCTATAGGGTGGTTAAGGCATGATACAATCCAGGTCTCATGAACAATTAATATGTCTATTATATAAGCCTTTTTGTAGACAAATCATATTTCCCTTTAAAAGCACGAGTACGGAAAAAAATTTAGTAGACAAAAATACCCCTATAAAGTTTGAACTATCCTATCACTAATCAAATTCTAATTTTTAAATTGTGTTTAAT